ATTTAAAAATTGCTGGGGTCACATAGACCCAGTGTGACTGATTCGTTCGAAAAAAAATGTGTGACTTCTAAGAGATAAATAAAATAAGAAGTATAACTCCCGTTTCGTTGGAGCGACCACCCAGTCGTCAACACATTTTGTTGCTGCTATATCACCTGAAAATAAGACGTTATATAATGAATATGTTACAACAGTTAAGCTGCCATTTCACGGAGCGAAGCTAAAGCTGGCGTTTACCCCCACTCCATCGCAACACAAGTCAGCTTTGCTTTAGCTAACGCTAAAGGCCTCCTGCCTTTTCATGGAGCGTATTCTTCGCTGCTTTGAGGTTGTGTTTCAGTGAAGTTGAATTCCTGGCTTTCGCTGGCTTTCTAGTTTTGTTTATAGTGGAGTACAAATAATAAAATGGATGAAGAAAGTGGATTAGCAATTGCAATTGCAGAAATACAAAAACGACGTACAGCCGTGGCTGCAGCTGTTGTGATGCATTTGCAGAAGAAAAGAAAATATAAGGAAAAAAAGCATTGGGATGATATAAACGCAAATGCATCTTTAACAGATATCGATAGTATGGAAGATGGACGTGCATTCAAAAATATTTCAAACTGTGGGTCTAATATGAGTGCTAAAGAATGTGTAAAAATTCGAGATGAATTTTGTCATTATTTTAATAATGATGGGGCCGTACCGTGGCAAAATGATAGAAATAAATAATAAAGTTATATTTCTTGTTTTTTAAAAATAAACTTAATTTTATTTCTTATCTTTAATGTTTTATTATAAATGCCTTTTCTTTGCAGTATTGAGAACTTGCAATAGTTGTATCATTACTTCATCGACATCCTGAGGATCAATTTCTCGCAGTTGGGCAGCTATAAGATTGGCAAATGACATTATTTTATCAGGTGGTGACGAACTAGGCAATTTAACAGTCACTGGTTGATTAAGAGCATTAGCAATTCGATCAATGGCTGCATTATCAGAAATACTCGTACTCCGACGTTTACTACCACCTACAATTAAATTCTAATTTGTAGTCATCGTCAAAAGTTGATTTTTGTTAAAATTCTCAAAACTATACAGTAAATGTATGATAAGAATAGAAATAAGAAGATTAACTTACGCGATCCACGACCACTGCTGCTGTTGTCATCACACAAAATACTATTTCTACTATCATCATCATAATCTTCATGAAGTTCTTCATTGCTTTCAAATCTCGAAATATTAGTTGCAGTTCTGTAATTAAAATATTTCTATACACTGCTACATTGAGACATATTTATATGCGTGAAATTTATCCATACTTGCTTGTAAGTTGCACATCACTAAGAAACTGCATTCTATCAAAGTGTACCCATTTATTTGTCTGTGACGTCGCTGCTGAGCCACTAGGACGATATTGCTTATTTTGTTGTATTCTAAAAGAATCACACAATGATTTCCATTTCTTTTTAACGGTTGCAATGTCCATATCTACAAAAGGCAAAATACGTTCAGATACAGTAGTGAATTTTATACTTAAATTATTAACGTAGATTAAAGTAAATGTAGAATATAGTATACTATATTCTATATAAATAAATAGTGATAATCTACATTAATAATTATAATTATTAGTGTAGAATGTTACTATTTATTGATGCAGAAACTTCTTCCCAGAGCTTTTTTTTTATTTGAATGCTTCGTTCGGCAAGAGGAAGCTTAAAGTTCCACAGCGCAGGACGCTTATGAATTTCATCAATAAGCTGTTCTTCCTGTACATGTTTTTCATTATGCCAAGTTTCAATAGTCTTCTTAATCTTCTTAGGAACCTGTTTCTCTATTTCATCCATTTCTTCTGAATCATCAACCAAACTCATGTGTGAATCATCAACCAAACTTTGTTCGTCATCTATACATTACAGTCATCCATGTTATTTACAAAATATGTGTTATATGATAAAATATATATAAAATGTCACTAGTTACCGTTCTGATTTTGAGGATGAAAGATTAAATTTTCATCCACGTAAAAAAATTCATATCCTCTCAGACAAGGATGATTGCATATTTCCTCCTCCACTACTTTTGATTTACACACACTACATGTGTGCAGCATTTCCTACAACATGTATGTTATCAATTAATATATTAATTTAAAATACATATTATAATTATCGGAAATAAAGAACAACTTAACCTACAAGTATACTTAATTATTATATTATAATTATACTAACTTTGTCTATATTTTTTGGTGATGCGTATTTCTCGCTTCTTCCAGCCATAATGTATTCTGAAACTGAAACACACTGGTTAGATTAGGAATTCACAGCTTCGCTAAAAGTTCGATAAATCCAACTTTGAGCGTTACCTTCGCTCACCTTCGCTGTATCGTTACTTTGGTAGAGTGGGGGTAAACGCCAGCTTTAGCTTCGCTCCGTGAAATGGCAGCTTTACAGTACAGTTTTGTTATGCTACTGTCTTTTTCAACATTATGTTGAAAAGCACATTACCAATAACATATAATACTTACATCTATTTTAATTGTCCGTTTCAACTCTTCTTTCATATTGTTCTCTCTCTGATCCGTATGCATATTTCTTTCTGACATCTCTTATTTTTATTGTAATCATTTTGAACGAATCATTCAAATGTTCAAATCTTATTGTATCATTCATATTCAACTCAATCAGGTGGTCATTATACAAACCTACAAAACAATCAATGAAAGTATTAAAACATAATAAATAGATAATGGGATGGTATAAAGAAAAATGTTTATATACTTAATGCTAAAGATAGTTTCCGCGGACTAAGTTCTTTAACTGTGCCACTAGATGGCTTATAATACGTTTTGTTTTCGTCAAGGCATCTATTTTTAAGAATATTGTATGGCCAAATGTAAAGCAATACATCATGCAAAAACAAAGAAGGCTTTCTACGCAGTTTTGTCATTTCCCAAGACAGTTGACTAACCGATATGTTTTCTCCTAAGTATATCTGTTAAAAATATATATTTTGAAAATAACAAGGCTACCATAATTAATAAAAGTAGTACACACAGTAGAGAAGGCCAATGTAATAGTTTTACATATAAGGAAAATAAATAAACAAATGTCTTACTCTTGTATTTGATATTTTATCATAACGCTTATGAATATCATAAGAATCTTCAAAGTTCAAAGCATCCTTTATCCGTTTTATTTTCACTTGCTTATTATTTAACTGTACTGCGACTGAAAAATAAACAGCATTCTTAACATTGTTATTTATTTGACTTTAAAACGTGTTACGAATGCATATATGCAAAAACGTTTTAAAGTAAACTACAATTACATCTTACAATCGAGTGAAGAATATTTCTTTTGTGACGTTAATGTATCCTAACGGATTTACTAAGAATGTGTAACAAGGGGGAGGGGTGTCAAAAGTATATATGTTATTACATAGCAGTATTATACTTATAAGTATAAAATATTACCAATTTCGTCTTCATTTGACATATCGTTGTCATCTATTGTATTTTGCTCCCTATACCGATTATTTTCCGTTTCCAATAAACGTCTTCTCACGCTTTCATTACTTGTACTTGCTAAAAATATAATGGGAGGACGTTGATTATAAATCTCTCCGT